TCCTGTACATGCAAGATGAAAGTTCTCCATGCCAACCGCATTTTAAAGGCAAGCAAACATTTTAGTCAAGAATGTCTTTTTCTCGTAAAATGAAAAATAAAAATATTTTCCCTCTTTTTCACTCTAACCGTGGAAACTATTTCAAATTTAAAAAAAAAAAAGTTCAAAGTTGTTATATTATAAACACTATGTATCTGGACGATTGCAGTGTGTTTATTAAAATGTATCTTAAGTCAGCTTTAACCAATTTGTTTCGACCAATTCCAATTTTTCAGTATTATTGTGGTTTTCATAGTGCTCTTATCACCGTGGTTTACTGTCCACATCAGTCTTACGACTGTTCGTGAGGGCCTATGTGTGTAGCAATGTAGAATTAATGGACATTTGTTTCAATTTATTGAGAATCAAGACAAGATGTGTTGGCAGCTTTTCGCTTCCACCCTTTTTCTTTGAATGTTTGGGCAGGCCTTTTCGACAATCACTTAATTGGACCCTTTAAATTTGCGTTTCTTTTGAATTTATCTGCCTGACTTCTTAGAAGTTCGACAACGGATGTACTTCTTGTAATCCCACAACTTTCAACGAAATATTCGAGGTTGAAGTTGAAGTACGGTGGAAAGGACGAGACTAGGTCTTCTCATTCCTCTACTCATTTGCCCTGAGTGCCAACGATGCAAATAAAAGAGGCGGTAGCCCAACAAAACTAAATAAAAATATTTCGATGTATGTGAAATTACGCTAGACTAGAAAAGGAGAAAGAAAATTAAAAACAGAAGAACTCTTATTGAAAAGTTAATGAAAAGAGAGAAAAATATTGAGCTATAAAAAGCCCAACTAGAAGGCAAAGCTGAGTTGCTGCAAACCAAAAGGAGTCATATAGGCCAAAACCTTCAAAACTATACAGAATTCTTAAGTGATGATTATTGCCAGAAACAACTACTATATGGGCTAAATGCAAAAATGCCCCGGCTAGCATTGAATTACATCAGAAATGTAGCTAGGATGTCATTCATCCGCCGAACACACCAGATATATACCAGTTTTGGACTTGTTAGTGCTCATCAATAAGCGAAGTAAATACAAGAGATACAACTGAGAGTTACATCTAGTGGCGAATGCTACTAACAGCCTGAGATCTACAAAGAGGACAGAAGCTAACAGAAAGCGACCTGTATTTCAAGTACTATGAAAGAGTGAGCAGTGTCGTCCCTGTGAGCACGAAAACAAAGTTTGAAGTGATGATATTGTCAGAAACAACTACTCCATGTGTAGTTCAATGCTAGACAGGGCATATAGACGGTAGAGTAGTTGTTTCTGCCAATATCATCAGTCATCACTTAAAACTGTAGCGGTACGCTACAATTACATTTAGTACCTGCCCCAATAAATATATTTTGCTTTCTGGGAATTTACGAGCCATATAAATTATACTTTGAATTATCCGAGATTAACCGAAATAAATGTATTTAGCAAATGAGATTAGAATAAGTAGGCTGTAAACATAAATTAGTTGTTGTTTATTAGGGTACATAAGCACAAACCGAGTAGGTAATGACCCGGATAAGTGTTAATTAGGATAGGGTAATAAAAGTAGGTACCTGGGGACAAGGATAAAACTGAAAATATTTCCAGGCACGAACCAGAAGTCTTGAAGCCTAGTTCCTGCTCGGTTGTGTCTCGTGTTACCAGCAAAATTAGTAGAATAAAGTTTTCCATGCTATTTAGAGTGTTTCTCCTCACTTGAAGACCAAACCACTATAAAACTTTGTTTTCGTGCTCACAGGGATAACACTGGTCACGCTTTCATAGTACTCGGAATACAGGTCGCTTTCTGCCATTTTTTGCCCTCTGTAAGTCTCGGGCAGTTAGAAGCAGTGGTCACTAGATGTAACTTGGTTACATCTTTTATTTGTTTATACAAATTATTTCTAGAATTCCTTCACTTCAGGTTTATATAGAATTCAGCTGCACCACTTGTAGATCAAGAGAGGTGTTGGTGCGAAAGTGACACTAATAATAGGGATTAAACTTGAACTAGTGGATGAAAGAAAGCGCACCAACAGAACTACAGAAAAATAAATATTATAAAATCGGGGCTCTGGTGCTCTGTATCGCATATAGTCACAAATTACAAAAAGCAGACAAGAATCTTGGCAACTGAGGAAGGTGTCCAACGCAGACAATAATTAATAATTATTAAAACTTTTTTATCAAAAAAAAAAGGCAAAACGGCACTGATTCAGAAAAATCACAATATTTAAATATACAGGGTGTCCCAAAAATATAATTAAACAGCGACCAGACCACTTTTGGCCAGTCCAGGGGTCAAAAATAAAACAATTACGCTTATCTAAATATTTATTTGTTCTGGATTACTATCACAAAGTTAATAAAAACGTTAAATTTAAAATTTAAGTTGAAATTAAATTAAATTATTTTTTTTGCAAGAATTTGTTTTTTATCGCTAAAAATAATAAACTAGTTCTACCGATATAATTTAATATGTATAAAAGTAACTAGTATAAATTAGTTTGTCTTTTTGTGAGTTTGGCATTCTTGAAATTGACAATAAAAATAGTACTATTCGCCGCACATATTTTTTTTATTCCCCAATTGCTAGTTCAAATTTTTTAACATTCAATCAATAAAAAAGTCCCGGTTAAGCAAAATTTCAATCGCTCTAAATGCATTCTGTTCAGAAGTGTACAAAAATATCCGTTAAAGTATTTATTAATCCTTACTTTACTAATCAACCAACGTATCGCTCCTACACGCTATTCATCAGCTTCTGGCTCTGATCGTCCAACCTGACGATATCCCTCTTCTCCACCCTCCTCCTCCTCTGCGGGGTAGTACTCTTCTTCTTCCCCAAAGAGAGATAGATAGTCTTCTCATTGAAGTACTCAGTGATTTCCGACAGCTTCTTGTTGTGCGTTTCAGGTAAAATAACGAAGACGTAAAGAGACGCCGTTATAGACATCACGCCAAAGAACCACTGGACCATAACAATGCCGCCTAAGATACTACTTAAAGGGTAGTATAACTGCACGGCGACGAACATTAGTAGGTTAGCTATGCTCAGGGAGATGCTGTGGCCCATGCCCCGGATCTCGATGGGGAAGAGCTCGGCGGTCATCGTCCAGGGAATGTTGAGCAGGCCGATCATGGACGTGACGACGTAGAGGAGTAGCAGAACCACCGGCATCCAGTTTTGGGTCAATGTATCTGCGGGGACAAGATATGTAAGTTAGTAAGTTGTTCGGTCATGGCGGTAGGTCTCCGCTTCGACAGATCAATTCGCGATGCGTCGAATGAGACGCAACTTGACGGGGGATTCCTGAGGTCAAAATGGGGCGATTAAATCAACGGAAAGTTGATAATTTCAATTAGCAGGATGTCTAAGTTAAAAAAAATAATTTTGTTTGTGTTTCAGTTATTCGGCTAAAAATTTCAGTAAAGTTGTTTTTAGGGCGAGACTTTTTCAAATGCTTTGCGTTTGACGATAGAGGGTGCTAATTACACTTAATTGGTGGTTTTGTCGTTGAAATATGCATAAATTGTTGTAAAAATAATGGAGGTTCACTTTATTTTAAATGGAATTGGTGCACGAGTTGAAAATCAAAAACTCCAACAGTTCACGGGATGAAAGCGACAGGGCAGGTTTAGATGCAACTTTGTGTTAGATGTTTCTAAATATACCAGTGCATGCCACACTTTTTATAAATTAGTTACCTACTGCTTATGTCAAAAGACTATCAAAATTTAAATCTATACTATTCTGGATTGTTTTGTAATAAACTGTTTAACATTATTTCTTATGCAAAAAATGCATCTACATAGTGTTTTTCATGTTTGTAACTACATACTCGATAAGATTCAATGTTATATTTCAATGTCGGTAATAGGGATGCTACCCCACCTGGTGTGTGGTACTTTATAAATCTACACCCTAAAATATGGTGTTTTAACATAGCCTGTATACTAAGTTGCCGCGTTTATTCGCTAGATGGCACTGAAGTTGATAAAAAAACCTCTTGCTTTTTCCGATCTACACATAATTTGGTATGCTAGTTGTGTAATTTTAAGTAAATAATTTGATTTATTGTAGAGGAGTTTTTTAAAATAATTTATTTAAGAAAGGTCAATTAAGTATAAATAACGTATAATTATTTAAGTGAAGATTATTCGAAACCTTACGTAGGTTAGAACCGATCCTAATGCCTACTCTCAGTAGTAGTTCAAATGTACTCTTCAAATTCATAAATTAAAACTCATTGCCTAAACGATCGTCCAATCAAGGAAATTTACATAGAATCTAGTATGCTAGTAGTGTAATTTTAAATAGATAATTTAATTTATGAATTTGTTGAAAACTAACAGCATTTTTGACTTATTTGCAGTTTTTCAATCGGTGCACACTAAGAATAATTGCACCCTTATTAAACGAGTTGATAGTACAGTAAAACTGAATCGAGGATTAGAATCACATCTAGTCTATCAGTAAAGTGTAACTAGCGCTCTCTACCAGTGAGCGTAAATACAATTCTTTAAGTTCTCGTCCTAGGAAAAATCGTGTCGTAAAGTATCGGCAAATTTTTTAAACTCGATCGCTATATTTCGATGTCAGGAAACGCCTTGTATTTAATGAATATCAAAGCGTTTTTATTGTAAAATACGTCTGTCACAGGGAAGACCTACTCGATAATACCCTTAATATTATGACTACCACTAATATTAGCGGGATTGTCTGAAAAGTTAGTACGCATGCAGGTAGAGAATTAGAAAAGTAGGTTCAGGGGAATGCTCAGCTACTGGGTGATGATTTGTTTACCGCTGAATTAGTTTCGTGTATGTCGGCAGAAATTTTTGCTTGACGGTCTCGATGGAACTGCTGCATCTTATTCTTCCGCTGGCGTCTCATCCCTGCTCAGAGCTCTCTTGAAACTATCGCTTTATTATCGGAAAAAAAACACCTTACTCGAGAAGAAATAAAAGAAGCGTTATTTGCAGAATTTATTTTGATCTTTATCACAAAATATAATAAATACGAGTAGGAAAAATTTCAACTAACTAATAAAATCGATTAAAACAGTACTAACAAACTAAATGTCGAGACCTACGTAAAAAAAATATTTTGATACAAAGTTTTCCCCCTGCGGGAAATGTTTGGTCATGTTCGTCTGTACAAATGCAAAACGGAAGAGTTTTCCATGAAGCGCCATATCACACTTGACAAGTTTTTCAGTAACTAAGTACCATTCATTAAGAAACGGTGACGTATTTATCACAAAATTTATTTATAATGCCGTTTTTACTTTAATCTAAAATAAATGTGTCACACTTTCTAAGGATAACTCGATCATTCTAATTTTTAATAACTTGAAATTGTAAAAGGATAAAAAAAGAAATTTTGTTGGTTAAAATCTAATCAGATTTGTAAAAGTTCATATGAGACCTTGTGTGTGTTACAACAGACTATCGCCTACTTACATGTCAGTAGTTCAAACGTACTTTTAAAATTCGTAGTGGTCATCGTTATGAAACTATGACATATTTATCGTAAACGACCGTTTAAATTTCCAAAGCTTTACGAAATTTATTTATAATGTAATTTCAATTACGCTCAATCTGTTTACTCAAAATTCTTTTAACAAAACGTCTTGTAAATACTTCAAATACTTCACAACTTTGCAGGCCTACAAAGGCTCAAGTCTAGAAAAGGATAAAAAAAATGTATTCAAATATCAAATAAAATGATTTATCAAAAAAATGTCAATTAAGTTGTGTTAAGTGTCTAATGCCTACTTCCATGTCGGTAGTTCAAATGTACTCTTCGAATTCATAGTGCTCATTATAAAACTCTGACATATTTATCGTAAAAGACCATTTAGATCTTTAAATTGTCACAAAATTTATTCAACTTGGTTACTTTAAAATAAAGTATATTTCATATTCTACGAGATATTCTGATTTTTAGTAAAATAAAATTGTACTAAGAACAAAACAAATTTTGTCATAATTGCTTTGAATTTGTGATACAAAAAATATATATAAAAGAAAATGTATCGGTTAAAAACTAACTAGATTAGTTTTTTAATGATTTACTTTAAAAAAAAAAATCGATTAAGTTACTAGGTATAACGTACGCTTATATAATTACTTAAGTGAGGGTTATCCGAAACCGTATGCAGGTTAGAACAGATCCTAATGCCTACTTTCATGTCAGTAGTTCAAATGTACTCTTCATAAATTACAACTCGCAGCCTAAACGATCGCCCGATCAAGGAAAACATCACAGTCACTTCAAATACATTGTCAGTAAATTTAAGTGTACGAAAATACTGATTCGAATATTCGTTTTTAAGTATTGTAATCAACTAGCCTAACCTATCCGTAAAATCAAACGCTACTACACGCTGTTCATCAGCTTCTCGCTCTGCCCGTTGGACTTGACGATATCCTTCTTCGCCGCCCTAGTGACGCCCTTCTTCTGCGGCGGGTTGATCTTCTTCTTCTTCTTATCCGACATGAGGAAGATGGTGTTATCGACGAAGTACTCGGTGATCTCCGATAATTTTTTGTTGTGCGTTTCAGGTAGGACGATGAAGACGTAAATAGACGCTAGTATCGACACGACGGCGAAGAACCACTGGACCCCAGCCGTACCGCCGAGGATATAGTCTAGAGGGTAGTAGCTCTGCACGGCGATAAACATGAGCAGGTTGGCGATGCTGTAAGAGAGGCTCTGAGCCACGCCGCGGATCTCGATAGGGAACAGCTCGGCCGTCATCGTCCAGGGAATGTTGAGGAGGCCGATCATGGACGTGACGACGTAGAGGAGGATAAACAAGACCGGCACCCAGTTCTGCGTCGACGTCTCTAGAAGGGGACAACCAGAGGTATAAGCTTTAAAGTCGTATTTCAATTTTTTTTTGTTTTCTTTGTACTGCGGAAAACTTCCAAGAGTAAATGCGTTTTTTGAAGGAAATAGAATGCGTTACGATGCAGATTTTGTTAGCCCAGTCCGTTATTAACGTGTATACGTCAGCATTAGCAATTAGTCGACATTTAAATGAGGAAAAAAATAGTATCATACCATACCTCCAACATAAACTCCTAAAAAATTAAAAATTGTTCACGGTCAGCATTGTTTTATAATATTTAAAGTACGACAAATGTAAACCAGCAATTTGGTCTGTTGTCGGTATTGATCTTTGGCCGTTTTCGATGACCTTGGATGGAAAAACGCTCATCAGGGCCGTAATAAGAATTTTTTACTTTTAAAGCGTACTATTTTCATTTATTCTAAATTTCAACAAACGATTTCTAAACAAACAAACAAGCATAGTCTGCGTGCGTGGCATATCTTATGATTTCTGCTCATCTGAATTTGCTGGTTCACTTAAGCTGCAGTTCAAATGTACTAAATCAACAATTTGTTCCCTTAACTCAATTTGAAGGCGAATACAGTGTGATCTAAAATCGCTTCATTCTATTGACCTTCAAATATTCCAATTATTCAAAAATCTCGTACCTATTTATAAAAAATGATTAACATTTTTTGTTTTTGGCATTGATATTTTTTTCTGTATTAGTTTTATTAAACATTTACAGTGTGTTTCTAAAAACCAGCTGTTTTAGACTATATCTTTATAGGAAATCGTTTTGACGTTGTGCACTCCAAGTTTGTGGATATATTTAGGAAACACCCTGTAACTGTCTATTTATAGCAAGCGTGTCATTTTAATGGCTTCAGTTTACAGAAATTTTTGAAAAATTGACAATCAAAACTATCAAATGCCTTGTTGAGTTGTTAATCTCTCTATCGTACCTTTTATAAAGAAAAATTTCCTATTTAGTTAAAAAATAGTTATTAGTTGTACAGGGGGGCCACATAAAAATCTGCTGCTTCTCACCACGTTGGTCTCACAAATAAAAAAAAGCCATAAAAGTTCAAGCCGCTATTAATACTTGCGCTCGCTTTTATTTAATAGAATGCCCTGTATATTTTTAATTATTTGCTTAATATTAGAACTAGTTTTATCAATTTCAAATTGCTACGAAATCCTAAGAAAATATTCCATCTAAAGATGAAAAAATATGTGGTGCATTGGGGGTCATATTTATTCCATCAGAAAAAATGTTCTTTTTATATTATATACAGGGTGATTTATTAACAACAATGGGAACATCGAAAGTCAAAGATACTATATAAGAAATGGTGACCATTGTCCCAAACATGCCTTATACGAAAGTAGATAGTTTCGGAAATACTGGGTGTTGAAAGTTAAAATTTTAAATCATTTTTTTTGCAATTATTCTGAAAATATGTAGGTTAGGAACTTGAAAATTTGTGAAACTATATTTTTTTAAACGACGAATAAGACGCGTGTTGCAATTTCAGCGTTGGTCATAGAGGGCGCTACTAACGACCAATTTTACCGAAAATTTAGTTAATAACTTTTTACCCTGTATGTCTAACATGAAACTTGATTCAAAACCTGAAAGAGCAATCATTTTTCCATTAATTATGTATTCTTGTTTTATTTCGGTATCTCGATCCGTTTTCGAGAAAAATCGATTTAACGAACACTATGTTTTGATAATATGAGAAATTAAAAGCGAAACAAACCAAGTGTTTCTTCGTGTTATTACAACAATTAACAATAAAACAAATAAAATACGTAATTATGATTTAAAGTAATTGTTCGAAGAATCCACCGTTGACACTGATACACTTTACACGTTTTCTGAGAGATCTTCGAGTTTGAAACAACATATTGGGATTGCGTCTGACTTCGTTGGCAGCGATTTGTATTCTTTGCCACAACTCTTCACACGAGCCAATAGATTCTTTGTAAACTATATCTTTCATTCGAGACCAAATAGAAAAATCAAGAGGATTGAAGTCCGGACTTCTGGATGGCCAAGCAAAAATGCTTAGATGGCCAATCCAGCGATTTGGAAAAACTGCATTTAAATATGCATGCAGTGGCCAAGAAAAATGCGGTGGAGCTCCGTCGTGCATGAACCACATGTCTCTTCTTAAATAAAGTGGAACTTCTTCAAGCTGTGGAAGCATTTTTATTTGGCCACCCAGACCCGGACTTCAATCCTCCTCATTTTTCTATTTGGAAGAATCTATTGGTTCGTGTGAAGAGTTGTGGCAAAGAATACAAATCGCTGCCAACGACGTCAAATGCAATCCCAATATGTTGTTTCGAACTCGAACACCTCTCAGAATTCGTTGTGTAAAGTGTGTAAATGTCAACAGTGGATTCTTCGAACACTGACTTTAAATCATTATTACGAATCTCATTTGTTTTATTGTTAATTGTTGTAATAACACGAAGAAACACTTGGTTTGTTTCGCTTTTAATTTCTCGTATTATCAAAACATAGTGTTCGTTAAATCAATTTTTCTCGAAAACGGATCGAGATACCGAAATGAAACAAGAATACATAATTAATGAGAAAATGATTGCTCTTTCAGGTTTTGAATCAAGTTTCATGTTAGACATACAGAGTAAAAAGTTATTAACTAAATTTTCGGTAAAATTGGTCGTAAGTGGCGCCCTCTACGAGCAATGCTGAAATTACAACACGCATCTTATTCGTCGTCCAAAAAAATATAGTTTCACAAATCTTCAAGTTCCTAACCTACATGTTTTCAGAATAATCGTAAAAAAACGATTTAAAATTTTAACTTTCAACACTCTGTATTTCCGAAACTATCAACTTTCGGACAAGGCATGTTTGCGTCAATGATCACCATTTCATGTATAGTATCTTCAGCTTTCGATTTTCCCATTGTTAATGAATCACCTTGTATTTGTCATTTTCATATGCCTCAATGTTGTCAAATTTCATCGTTCTTGATTCGTATACACATTTCTTCATATCACATAGAAATTTAACAATGAAGACACACAAACACACCTTGCCGAAAAGCTAATACTGTACTACAAATACCGACAAACTAAAACAGATGTAACCAAATGAAGCTGTGATATATTCGGACATTGTCGCTTCGCCCAACGCTGTTCATTTGTTTTTTTAAGTGCCTAGCGTCCTGTTGTCATCTCATCAGGTGGATTGATATGAAGTTCACCCAAACTAAGTCAATGTCAAAGGTCGCTAATTCACAAACTAAACATAGTGCTTTAAAAAAATAATAACACGTAAATCAGGTCGGTAATTATTTTTATTTATCTTTCATTACGTACATTTTATGAAACAGCAAAAATAAATATTTTAAGCTATTTAATAAATCGCGCAAAACAGTAAATTTTTTCAAAACACTGGAAACTTTTTTAAGATTTGGCTCTTCGTTCCATTGACAAAATAATTTTGCTCTCTACCGCTCCGTTAGTTTCATACGGTTGATTTAAAAAGCGAACAACAAGCAACACTGATTGGCGCACACTTAAAATCGAGTTCGGGTGCTGCCCAGTGACGGCGTAGACAAACGTTCAAATGTAGTTTAAAAAACGAATTGACGAGCTTCGAATAAATTTTATTTTGGGCAACACCTAAGGAACTGACCCCCACTTAAAGTTACTCCCTACATACAGGGTGTCCTAAAAAAAAAAGTACTTTAAACCGTTTTGAACTTTTAATCGTTCCTTCAACGGTTACGTTTTCTCCGTTTCACAAGGAGTATTTGAAAAAATATGTATTTTCATGTGGCCCCTCCTGTATACCCACAATAAGATAAACTAACGTCTTACTTTGTTTTATCCAGTACGTGAACAGTCCCGAGAATCCCATGCAGATAGCCATGCCCAGGCCGCTGACCATTATGAGCGGCCTTCTCTGGAAAGTCCTCAGCATGTAGGTGTTGACGCAGGACATCAGCATGCGGACGGTTCCGATGAGGACGGACGCCAGATACGGGTTTATCGTGCTGCCCACATCCTTATCAATAATGTACAATAAATAAATAAATAATTGTAAAATAAAAGCGTTAAACGAAGGTTATTGTTGTTTTAATTTACCTGAAAGAACGTGACCGAGTAGAAGAGGGTGATGTAGATGCCGGAGAACTGTTGGAAGAAGAACAGTCCGAAGAGGATTATGATGGGTTTGTACCCGGTGGGCTTGAAGAACTCCTTCAGTTTCACCAGGGCGCCGGAGCCCTTCAGGCTCTGCTGCTCTAGTTTCTGTTGGTGTTCTTTTTGTAGGAAGTTCAACTGTAATTCGGCCAGAGATTCGTTCTAAAAACAAAATTATGAAGTTTCAGCGATGGATTCGGTATTGAGATTCCAGAAAACTGAGGAAACAATTCAAATATGTATCAGGATCACAGAAGGTAGAAGAGATTTTTATTTGTTCATATATCTACTAAAAAAGGACATAATTGGAACTATATTCATCTTTGTTTTCCATCTTTCTTACACTTCCTGGTCTCCTGATACCAATATTTTGTTTTTCTGCCGCTTGATGGTAAAAGTAGGTATAGTGTATTCTAAAGCCAATATTTAGTTAAAAGTCAAGTATGTATTAGGATCGCAGAAGGTCGAAAAGATTTTTATTTGTTCCACATCTATTGAAAGGACATAATTGGACATCTATTGAAAGGACATAATTGGACATAATTGGAACATAATAGGAACTATATTCATCTTTGTTTCCAATGTCTCTTACACTTCCTGGTCTCCTGATACAAATATTTAACTTTTTGACAGAAAGTCAAAAAGGTATTTTGCCGCAATTGATAGAACAGAGAAAGGTAGATTTGGAGCCATATCTATACAGTTGGAACTATATCTGATACATGTTCAATATCTTGTGCGCTTCATGTGCTCCTGATACCAAAAATTAATTTTGTTCAAGTTTATTGGGTAAAATATTTATGATTTTCATGTGAATTTCACAGCTTTGTTATCAGGATCACAGAAAGTCGAGGAGGTATTTGCCGCGCTCTGTTGACAAAAATTTACGCAAATTTTGTCGTGATTTTATGAAAATTTTGTACATTTTGAGCAGCATGTATCAGGATCACAGAAAGTCAAGGAGGTATTTGCCACGCCCAATTGAAAAAATTAACGGAAATTTTTATGACAATTTAGTACAATTTGAGCAACATGTATCAGGATCACAGAAAGTCGAGGAGGTATTTGCCGCGCTCAGTTGAAAAAAATTTACGGAAATTTTGTCGTGATTTTATGAAAATTTAGTACAATTTGAGCAATATGTATCAGGATCACAGAAAGTCGAGGAGGTATTTGCCTTGCCGCGCTCTATTGAAAAAATTTACGGAAATTTTGTCGTGATTTTATGAAACTTTTGTACATTTTGAGCAGCATGTATCAGGATCACAAAAAGTCGAGGAGGTATTTGCCGCACCAGATTGAAAAAATTAACGGAAATTTTTATGAAAATTTAGTAGATTTTGAGCAACATGTATCAGGATCACAGAAAGTCGAGGAGGTATTGAAAATATTAACGGAAATTTTTGTCAAGATTCTATAAAATTTTTATATATCTTGGGGACTACGTATCAGGAACGCAAAAGGTTGAGGAGGCATTTGTCACACTTCTAAAAACAGGAATGTTCTAATGTCAAAATTTATCTTTTTAATGAAATTGTGAATATTTTGTAACAGTTTTATATATTTTGAGGATCATGTATTAGGATCTCAGAAGCTCGAGGAGGTATTTGCCATGCCTAATAAAAAAAGAGAGGTATATTTTGATACCAAAAAACAATTTTTAACAGAAATTTTGTTAAGATTCTATTAAAATTTTATATATTTTGGGAACTACGTATCAGGTTTGTTTATAGAAATCTTCTAGACAATATTAGGAGCACAGAAAGTCGAGGTACCCGAAGTTTGATTTTCGATATACGCAAGCTGTAAATAAAAAAATAAATTCGGACTAAAGCTTTATTGAAAACGAAGAAGCTTATAATAAATGCCGGGATAAATGTGACTTACCCTATTTTCTGGTTGCGGTTGGTATTTATTGATCCACTGCAACGACTTAGCTGCCTGTTCGATCCTGCCTTTGGACACCAACCAAGCGGGGCTCTCCGGGATGAAACATATCAAAATACAGGGCACTACGGCGTAGATGTTGCTCAGCCACGCCACCGTCTTCCAGTGCATGAACCACCCCTTCAGGAAGCAAATAACCATACCTGAAACGATTTTCCACGGTTTAGCATACCCGATACTTTTAAGATATGCATAGACGCTCACCTAGAGAGGCAAAAGTTGGGGCGCAGGATATCAGCGAACCCCTAAGATCCGCCCTGCCTATTTCCGTCATGTAGACGATTGCTGGACTGGTACCCCACGCTGAAACAAGAATAAAACATTACGGGATTCCATTTTGTATCGGTAATCGACGCTTACCTGATGCAAAACCGGCAAGCAGCCTTCCAGCGATGACCATGGGCACGTTTTGGGCCAAGGCTATCAAGGACCACCCCAAGAGGCTGGGAATGGCAGCCATCTTGATCGTGTTCAATCTGCCGATGCTGTCCATGAAGAAACCACCCGTTATAGCTCCTATGGGCACCACGATTACTATAACGCTAGCTGCAAGACAAACAAATCGGTCAGGGGTTAATTCAAACTGGTATATCGTTAAAACCAACCGATCCAGGAACATTCCGTCTTGGAAGCGACGATACCATCCTCTGCCCGGAACTCGGTGTTGTTAGGGTCCACGCTCGGTATCAGGATGGCCGAATAAGCAAGGGATATACCTACTACTATGTGGTAGCTCGCCACGATCACTGCCGCTAAGATCTGGAAATAATGCGTGGCGTTTTATTGGTACATTTCAACACTACCATTTGATTTGAAGGTTACAGAAGTACCAGGACCCGTACTAACCTGAGGTACAAGGGTTTTGAAGGTTCTTCCATCGTAGCGACTAAGAGATTTGCAACTAACGATGATTTCGCTGAACTTTTCATCCTGCTTCTGCTCCTCTGCGATCGCCCTTTGGTTTTCCTGAATACTAGAAGGAAAAGAGACATTTATATAAATTTACCCAGAATAATACTCCAAGTGACACATCAAAAACTAATTTTGTTGATAAAATGGTATTTTTCAAAATCACTACAAGCTATTTTCAAAAGACCAACGGATTTGCATTTTTTTTTTCAAATTGCGGACGGTTACTTACTCCACATAGTTTCTGATATCCACATATCCACAGCGATTATTTTACATTGTTTGATCACTTTTCATTAGCCACCAATTTGCAAATTGGCTGAATTTCTACCGACCTTAAACCGTCTCTTTATTTGCAAAACATGATAAATGCTTCAGAGGAGAATATCCGATATTTTGAATATAATTAATGAATAAACAGAACCTGTGGAATTAACAAATATTATACAGGGTGGGCCACCAGTAGCGCCTCGGTGGCTAAGGACCAAATGGCAAATTTTACAGAAACCTGTTTAGGTGGGTATATGTAGACTGATTACGGCTACATTTTGAAATACTTTGAAATATACTGGGTGTCAAGGTAAAGCGTACCATATCAAAGTTATGTATTTTTAAATGGAACACCCTGTATTTTACTGCATTTTTGAAAGCACCCTAAAAAATAGGTGAACTTTATTAAAGGTTCTAGATACCTAGGACTTATTGTTTGTGAGACATTTCAATTTTAGTGAAAATTGAGGCTTAGCGTAGAAATTTAATATTAGCAATAAAAAAATAATTTTAAGGAAGCAACTTTGGACAGTGTATTTTAGTATTGTACAGGGAGTTCAAAAAAACTGCTGATTGCTTCTCTCAAATGTAAACAGCAATAACTTGGTTATTTTAAATGGGACACCCCGTATATTTTTACTTCGGAAGTTAGGAAATTTAAAACTCTTTCAAACAGTGTATAGGTTCCCTATACCTATCTCTAACGGTATTAGAGATATTTGTGCCATTTCGTTTTTTATCGAATTTTTTTGTAAGATGTATCCACGCATAGATATACAGAACCTTTAACAAAGTTCATCTATGTTTTTATGGCGCTTTCAAAAATGCAGTAAAATACAGGGTGTTTCATTTAAAAATACATAACTTTGTTATGGTACGCTTTTTTTGGACACCCTATATATTTCAAAATATGTTCAAAATGTAGCCGTAATCAACATACACGTACCCACCTAAACATGTTTCTATAACATTCGCCGTATGGTTCTAGCGACCGAGGTGTTACTGGTGGCTCACCCTGTATAATATAAGAAAAAAAATTATATATAAATATCAAACTTTTAGAAAAAAAAATGACATTTTGCCACTGTGTTTATTGATCAGTTCACTTGATTCGTAATTATATCTCAAAGCAAAATCTTCCATTTTGTTTGAAAAACGAGTAACTTTTAAGTTACTTTCTAAATTTAAAATTAGTTTTCAGCACAGTTGAATAAGTCGAAAATAAATCCAAAACTATTTGTTTGCCAAAAAGCATTTACAGGAATTTATTGTTCCAAATGCAATTTTAAATAAAATATAAACATTAAGAGCCAAAAAAAAATCATTACTGTAGAAAATTTTTTTTTTTGAAGAATGGTGAGGCCACAAATTATTTAAAAAGATTTTATTGGACTTTTCATGATACACTAACTAGTAAATAGACAGTATCTAAAATAGAATTTTGAGAAACAATTCCTACACATTTTTATTTTTTATTTTTAGTGAATCGAATATTTTTAGAAATAATTACCCAAATTAACACTAAAATTACTTGTTTATGAATGTAGGTAACGGAAGCTTTTTTTTCTGAAAAGCAATTATATTAAGATTCAAATGCCCCCAACAAATTTCCTAAACATATTGAGTTCTGGTGAATCTTCAATGATACTACCTCTCAGTATTTCTGCCAATTACAGACATATTTGTAAATAAATTTAGCAAATATTTTAATTGTCTAGATCAGTAGCCCAAGTTTAGTCAATCTATGAAATACATATTCAGAAATATTTGAGAAATGGAAAATTTTTTTTAATTTTAATTTTGTGTGTCTGTGTCCGAAATTGCCACATTATTACTAAAAACAATATTATCTATCGCTTGCAGCACTCTAGATGACTTTCATCGAGAACTCATAAATGTAAAGGCAAATGACGCGAAAATATCGCCTTTTAGGTGTATTTTATATTGTCACAATTTTCTCTTTATGAAAAAAAAAAAAAACAAGATTTAATATTAAACTATAAGGGGTTAAATAAACTGACATCACTGGTTTAAGTGTTGAGATTGATTTGTTGAACGAAAGTTTAAGCCACTTTTACATACATAGATTTTAGTTAACGTAAACAATGACTCGTATATTTGACGAATATTGATATTAGGATAGATCCTGACGTGTATGGGGCGCCTTAGTACGTCTAAGCTACGTCTAGCTTTAACGGTGGTGGGCTATTTAACTATTTACGACCGACAACTGTTCTATTATCAGCGTTTAAAATCAATGTTTGCAAGTTGGGTCACGGTCAATTTGTTACATTATTATTCAAATTGGAACCATCCAACTAGGCGTGACATTCAGACGTTTTTGGTACCGAAATCCAAAGGAAATTGTCAATATAATAATGCAAATATTGAAATATTTGTGACGTGAAAGCTAAAGTTAATTTGGTCGTCTGTTTTCAGTATTAATAAACAAAAGAATACAAAGAGCTATTTTCTTTGTGAGGTTAAGAAAAGACAAAATAAATTCAGTGAAGTTGCAGTAGGTCATTTGCATTTCCGATCGTTAGTGTGGTAACCTGTTTCAAAGTTTATTCTTCTTCTTCTTTTTTTGGCCTTCACCCAGAGGTTGTTTAGCCAGCTTTTTATGTAATTGTTTTTTAAGTTTCAACGTTTACATTCTGTGCTATTTTACATAGTTTGTCGTAGAAGAAGAGGAAATCTGGGCATCAGTGTTTGTTTGGAAGCTTGGTATTCATAGTTTTAGTTTAGAGTTTATGAAAAATAGGTGCTATAAGAAGCATTGTCTAACGTTTAAGCTTTTATGGAAAAATACTGTTTTTAGAGAAAAATATCGTTCGTATTCCTGAAACAGCCTCCCAGATAGATCTTGCTACATAGACATGGTTCTAGAATTGCGCGATTCTGTAAATATGTTACGTAGTTTCAGAATTATTAATCTACAGAGAAACGCTGAATCGACCCATAAAATGACTTAAATCAAACTGAATCTTTAATAAAAACGTTAAAAAAATATTATTTTAGCTTTCAGTGGGCCACCCTATTATCCTTGCGAATGTTATGTAATCTTGTTCCATATGTGTGTTATATGTTAAATTTGTACAAACTGAATAAATAAACTGAGTATTAATTCCTTCCAGAAATTCCGAGAAGTCGCTTTTGCGTTTAGACGTATCGTGCGGTATCATTTACCCATTTTAGACCCGCCAGAAATAGTTGTTTTTTCTAGCTTCCTCACATATTCCACTTTTTAAATAAACTTAAGGAAAATGATCCTGCAACGTGTCAAGGACAAAACATTTTGTGCTCCAAACATTATATAACGCCTATCATTTGCACGAGAAATTCAAATCAGCAACTGTTTGCTGTGAATTCGCAAACAATCCATTACACATACCGAGTGAACCTTAAACGAGCTTGTGTTATATATTTCAATTAAATTATATATTACTACAAATATTTAAGGAGATATTTAGTCGGCTCTGTGTTTCTCTGTAAATTTATAGTTCTATAAGCTACGATGAATCCGCAAGTAACATTTATTTTACAGAGTCGTAAATTATGCAATTTTGGAACCATCCCTGTAACGACTCACTTATAGAGATGCAAATGAACTACTGCAACTTCACTTCACTGAATTTGAATTTGCAGTTGACCTTAACCTTAAAAATTCCTTTGTTTATCCATGCCTACATTGTTTTTATATAGAATGGAATGAGACATTATCAATTAAAGTAGAGTTGTTCATACAGCGTGGTAAAAAAGTTCTGCATAAAATTCATATTTTCGTTAAACAATTTTTTTTCGAAAAACGATGAGAACCGTCGATTTTTATTTGATCCAGGGCACCTTGTTATATGGAATTTTTTGTTTCGATAATCCACTTACGGCAGCGATGACATATTTTTTTTTTTTAAATAAGCGCATATTTTTTTCGTTCGAAATTGATGACAGTGATTATCTAAACAACGGTGTGAAAATTTCGATGTCTTACATAACAATTTTTTTTAGAAAAATGCACCTTAAGTTCTTATAATGGCTCCGAAAAGGACAAAGTTGACAAAATTACATTTCAAACGAGTAAAATTACACTAATGTTTGTGTAAGTCTAGCGAAATTGTTCGAATTGCCCACCCTGTACCATTTGGCATTGTCCTAAGAGCGTGTAAACGCCGTGTACACTTCGTACAAGCATTCCCGAGTCGATTTGATCTATTTCAAAACGAATACGGTTTTTAAGTTCTTCCAAATCACCTGGTCTGTTTGTGTACACGCGCGATTTCAAATAGCCCCACAAAAAAAAGTCTAGAGGTGTTAAATCAGGCGAACGCGGAGGCCACTCGATTGTTCCGCGTCGCCCGATCCACCGGCCAGTAAACGTGTTATTCAAGTACTCCCGTACTTGCACTCCATAATGGGGCGGTGCACCATCCTGCTGAAACCAAATTCTTTCCTCAGGAATATCAGGATCCTCGTTGTTCGGGAATAACTCTGCTAAGCTTGGGACCAAATCGAACCGCAGGAAATCCAAATAGCGAGCAGCAGTTAAATTTTCCTCGAAAAAATACGGGCCTAAAATACGACGCCCTATTATTCCCGCCCAAACGTTCACCTTTCGGGGGTGCTGATGATCTACTTCTTGCACCCAGTGCGGGTTTTCCTGAGACCAATACCGGCAGTTATGTCGATGCACCGATCCATTAAGATAAAACGTAGCCTCGTCAGAAAAAAATTATGTTCTTGAGGAAGTCGGGGTCTCCGTTATATCGATGCATTAAATCTTCACAAAAGTGGAGA